GAAAATCTGAACATGGGATAGGCATCTGGGAGGCAAAAGAAGAACTTGCTTTTATAAGTTATTTTCTGATAATGTTTTCTGTTTTATGTACAAGTGATAATGTACCTCCTCCAGTTTTTCATTATGTGACTTATAGACTCCCTTCACTGCCTTTGGAGTACATACATGGATGGAATCTAATAGTATTTGCTTATGGGCTTCATGAACTCTCCATTCCTGCTCCTCCTTCCTGGCCAGGCTTCCAAAACTCAACATACTTAAGCCATGTTAGACATCCTGCACTGTGCATCCCCCAGAATGGGAGCTGTTCAGAGAAGACCTGGCTCCCAACTGGCCTAGGGACCCAATTTTCTTTATTGTTTAAACTGGGCTATTTGGGAAAGGAGGATGCTGGGATATGCTGTTGATCCACTGTGGAGGCAGGACACAGTGCGAGTACTTGCAGTTGAGCCTAAAACCACTCCTGAGCCCTTAATTATTTCTAACTGGGGACAGGTCCCATGAGGAGAGAGGTGTCCTCTAGGACTGAAAATGTCTATAAAGAAGACAGAGACTCCCTTTTTACAGGGAGTCACATAGGAAAGATAAGGGATGACAGGCAGGGATGACAGGGATAAGGGATGGGGAGCTTCTGACTGGACACAAAAATTTTCACACTGAAAACAATCAGTCATTGGAATAATCTCCTCTGGGAAGTGGTAGACTTCCCACTGTTGGACACTTTTAAGATTCAGCTGGACAGGGTGCTGGGACATCTAGTCTAGGTCATACTTTGCCTAGAAAGGTTGGACCAGATGATCCCTGAGGTCTCTTCCAACCTGATATTCTATGACTGCACCTGAAAACCTGAAAGGCAGAGGAATATTGCCCTGTGACAAGCCCTGGAAGAGGAATAAGTGGTGGCCTCTGTAAGGCAAACAGAGCTCACTGGGATAAAGGAACTATCACCTGGTTTGTTATAGGGGTGATCAAGCTCAGAGATGAAGGATGTGAGTCGACAGAAAATAAGCACAGGCTGCTTTTCCCCAGTGAAACCTCAGGAGCAAAGTATGGTGGAAAGGAATGAAAAAATGGGATGTAAGCCCCATTTTTTTTTTTTTTTTTTTTTGATACCTACTTTGGTACCTTCTTCTGTTCCAGCTTCCCTAATAGACTCAATTCTTCATTAGTCTGCCTGATACTATAGCTACAAGAAAAGGGAAAAAAACATTTGCTTTTCAGGCATGCCATGTAGTGCAGAAAATTTATGATGCTATTGCAACCAAAAGTCAGATTTCATGACAAATGAGTTGCTATTAGCCTGTGAAAACAATCAGTCAGTTTAGTTAGCTAGGGTGTCATTAAGCCAAGAAGGACATGATGGAACATTTACAGGAGCAGACAATTGGTCCCCAGTTGCACCCACCTGTATTGTTTATGACATGCACTTTGCTCAGTTTGGCAGGGTGCCATGCAGGCTGTGTTAATTTTAGCAGCAAGGACACTAAAGAATGCAGACATGGTTAATAATGTATGCTGTTGGGGTCCTCTATTGTCTCTGCTTTTCTTGTCGCAGTCCTCTGTGTGTTCATTGCAAGACAGGGGAGGAGAAAACCAGTCAAGAAAGGAAGTCAAAAAGAAAATAACCCAAAATACCTGGTATTTGTCCTTCTGGAAAGGCACAAGGCCACATTCCCCAATTATGTAAATGAAGAAAGGCCTACAGAAGTTAGCATGTTTTTTTTTTAAAGACAAGCCTGTTGAGAAACCGGACCTAATTCTGAGTTTGCCTGTTGCCTGCAGACGTCGTGGTCTTATTTTAGAGATGTGGAGTACCCGCAGTTTCCACAGAGGTCAGGGGTTTGACAGATATCTCTGTAATTATAACCAGAAAATGGAGCAAGACTGAGTTTCCAGTTGTAGTTGTCTGTGGTGCCTGTTTAAATGACTTAGCAGAGAGTGTCTGCACATTCTTACTTCAAATTCACCATTTCTTGCGAAGAACAACTCTATGTGACTGCTGCTCATGAGCTTCATCTGCCCATGTACCTACCTCCCATCCAGCCACATCCAAAGCTCCCCCTTCCAACTTACGTGGAAGCAAGCATGGTGCTTCCCTTTATGTTAAGGATAATCACCATCTTTTTTCTTTTTCCCCTTTTCACAGGTTCTGGGTGATACTGACTGCAAGCTCTGCTGGAGAAGACTTGCCCCTCTTTGTGTATCTGAAATGAATTTGTCTATCACAAACAAGCCATAATGGAGAAAGCACCAAGATTAATGTAGATCTTAATAAGAGTGAATTAGTTTTTAAGGTACTTATTATGACTGATTAATTAAATGTCTCATAAATACAGGGAAGACAGCTGCAATTCCAGTTTCTGAGCAAAGTAAGTCCACCTACTGTAATAAATCTGTTTTTAAAGCTTTATGGATCCTCTAACCTTTGAATTAGCATTGCCATTTTTGTTACTGTCTCCAGCAATGAATCAGTTGTCATGCCATTTTCCAGCAAATGTTATAACCCAGCCATTCACAAACTGCTACTGCAAATCCGCCTTCCTGCAAACTCTTATTTGTTAATGCAACAACCTTCAGAATCATTCATTTTAAGAATAGCAGAGTAGGATCAAATTTTTGAACATAATGACAATGTCAGTGTAGTTTATGAAACCATAACAATGTAAGAAATGACATCTGGTGAGCCCATCATGCATGTAATGTAAGGTTAGCTTCAATGATTCCTCAGAGTTTTGCTCTCTCTGTAATGTATGGGTGGCAGTGTGCCACTCAAAGTAAGGAGAATCACTCAGCTGTCTTGAATATAAAGTGGAGAATATACTATGCTTCAGCGGGCAGGCTGGTGGCACAGGAATGTTGATGCAGACACCCTGCGGAAATGCTGTGCTGATAAACAACATTAAAAGAACAACCTTGCAGGTTCATAAAGCAAGGACTAGTTTGGTGGAAGCTTTTACATTTATACTGAGAGATCTCAGTGGCCTGCACAGAAGCTGGGCAGTGACGTCCACTAAGTCAAGCATGATCTCTCAGGTTTAGGTACAAATAAACCTATGTGGCCTGTGCAATCATCTCATTCCCATTTATTTAAGTCTCTTCTTGCACTTTTGAGGAATATCCCAGACTGAATTATGAGGTGGATGAAGGACCAAATGCAGCAGAGAATGGGGTGGAGGTCACTGAGTCATAGCTTGACTCACATGTTCATGAAGATGGTTCCAAAAGAAGCAGCGTTTGACACAACGATGGTCATTTTCTGGAAGTAAGAATGAGAAAATTCCCGTCTTGGACACTTTATAAAAGTGAGTAGATATAAGGCAAGAGGAAATGGCTTTGAACTGACAGAGGGGACATAGATGCAAGGGAGAAGTTCTTCACTGTGAGGGTGGTGATGCCCTGGCACAGGCTGCCCAGAGAAGCTGTGGCTGCCCAATCCCTAGCAGTGTTCATGGCGAGGTTGTATAGGGCTTGGAGCAACCTGGTCTAGTGGAAGGTGTCCCTGCTGATGGCAGGGGGCATGGAACAGGGTCAGCTTTAAGGTCCCTTTCAACCCAAACCATCCTATGATTCTGTAACCCACCCCTTAGAACCAATATGCCTGACGGTGGCAGTTACAGGCACTTATTACTATAAAATACAGATATGTACTTATTCACCTAAAAATACATGAGTCTGAGATAATGGCACGAAATCCCACCAAAAACAGGACAGGAATTGAACCCCAAGCCCTGCATCTCCCATTAATACCCCAACAAGCTCCTGCATCACTCATGCCTGGAGTTGTCACAGGAAACCTTTGCGAAGTTAAGATTTTCAGTTTCTGTACAACAGCTCATAAAGTTGGTACCTTTATTTACACAGCCTTTGGTTTATTTGACATCATGACACTACTCCAAAATCTAAGTGACACCAAAAGCATCAGCAGAAGGAATACAAGAAAGAGCCACATTGGACCTAAGGCCCTGGAAACATCTTTTCATGGCGTAAAGGAATATGAAAACCACTGTGGAAGGGCTTAAAAGCTGATGAACTACAGCTGTATTTTTAAGGGAATGGTGTAAACTGGGAAGCAAAAGCAACAGGAACTCTGCTGAGAAATTTCTGGGAAGAAGCTACAGTGAATGTGGATGTGACTTGGGTATTCAGGCAGCAATTATATAATGTTTTAGAAATACCAAGTTGTCCTTGGTTCAGCAGTAGTAGTCATTTTTTCTCCTTCTTAGTAGCTGGTGCAGCACTGTGGTTTTGACTTTCAGCCTGGGAACAGCGCTGATAACACCGATGTTTTTAGTTACTGCTTGAATGACTGACCTAGGACTTTGTGAGTCTCATGCTCTGCCAGGGAGGAGGGGAAGCCGGGAGGAAGTAGAAACAGGACACCTGATCCAAACTAGCCAAAGAGGTATTCCATACCACAGCATGTCATGCCCGGGATGTAAGTGGGAGTTACCTGGAAGGGCACTCACTGCAGGGTTGGACTAGGTATCAGTCAGTGCTCGGTCGGGCTGGGTATTAACGGTTGGTGGGTGGTATCGTATTCTCTTCCCTTGTTGTTTCCCTTATCATTATTATTATTGGTGGTAGCAGGAGTGATTTGTGTTATACCTTAGTTACTAAACTGTTCATATCTCAACTGGTGGGAATTGCATTCTTTTGATTCTCCTCCCGATCCCTCCATGATCAGGGGGAATGCAAGAAGGGGGGTGGGTTAGAGAGTGACAGTGTGATTTATGGCTGACTGGGTTTAAACCACGACAGTCCTTTTTGGTGTCCAAAGTGGGGCTCGAAGGGTCTGAGATAATGACAGATCTGACCGGATAGATAGTCACTCATCACAATGCTGATTTATTGGCTCTCAAAGTTGTTCCTTTTGATCTCACAGTTTCAGAATGTTGTACCTTACTTAGACCCAGTATTTGCTGTGTTAGTGTTTATCAAGTGTGATGCTTAGGCTAAGGTTCTTTTCTCACTGTATTTTATGGTAATGACTTGTATTACAGGCAGACTCCAGCAGCAGGTTGGGACAAATGTGGCCGTGGACTTGTACCTGTCTGTCCTGCTGCTCTTAACTGTCCTGTCCCTCATCCTTGCCTCTGTTTTTGTGAGGCTGCGGGGAGCCGATGGGGAGCGGCCCCGGGAGCCAGCGGCTGCCAAAGTGGCCTGGGAGAGCGGCCCCGAGCACCAAGTTTTGTTGGGTGTGGGGCCGAAGGCCGGGAGGGAGTGGCTGCTGGTGGAAGAGGTTGGAGCAGTTGAGGAGGTGAAGGAGGTGGCTGCCAAGCAGCGGGAGGAGGAGGCAGAGGAGCCAAGCCCCGTGGCCGAGGCCAGCCCTGTGGTGTCAGAGAGCGTCCCCCAGCAGCTGCCCACCAAGCCCCAAGAACCCAAGCCCCAGGAAGATGTGGAGAGCAAGATACGACCTTTAGAAGCCTCATCTGGGTCCAGCCTTGGGCATCCAGGACAAGTGGAGGATGCAGGAGACTGCACATCATTTCCCAGCAAGGCAGAGGAGGAAGATCTGGACTCAGAAAAAGAAAAGCTGGTGGTGGGAGAGTTGGCAAGCACAAGAGCTACATCAGCCCCAGTGACAAGTACAGCAGCATCATTTGAGAGTTCTGAAGGTTTTGAATGGCCTTTGGGTACCCTTGGGACCTGCCTGATGATTGTGATGGGGATCAGCATGTTGGCACACATACAGAATGTGTTTTGCCCACAATCATTTCATCTGATTTCAAGAGTTAAGCAGAGTCAGGTTTGGGTCTTGTCTGGGGATGGACGACGATATGGGAAGACCAAGGGGTTTTACCCAAGGCTAGACAGTTATGAGTGGCAGGGTGTGTGGGACAGTATGGGTGAGTACCTAGTCCACCGGGCCCCTCCAGTGGTTTGGAAGCATCGGAGATGGAAGGCAGCTGTATGGAGTCCTCAACGACAAGTTGCAGAACCTGCTGAAAGGGAGGGTGAATAATTTTGGGCCTGGTGGGCCCATGGCACTTCAGGCCATCAAGGCACAGATGCAACATAGAGATGGACTCATGATCGAGGGGTGGACTTAGGAATGGACACTATTGCCCAGGTTATTCATGAATGTGAACACTGCACACAGCCTCTCCTGCTCTGAAAGACTGTTACAAGAGATGGAACCTCCTACATTGGAGATATTCAAGGCCCACCTGGACAAGTTCCTGTGTGATGTATTCTAGGTTACCCTGCTGTTGCAGGAAGGTTGGACTAGATGACCTAGTCCTAGGGATGACCTAGGGACCACCTAGGGATGCTGGGATGGACTCTTCATTAGGGACTGTAGTGGTAGGACAAGGGGTAATGGGTTAAAACTTAAACAGGGGAAGTTTAGATTGGATATAAGGAGGAAATTCTTTCCTGTTAGGGTGGTGAGGCACTGGAATAGGTTGTCCAGGGAGGTTGTGAGTGCTTCATCCCTGGCAGTGTTCAAGGCCAGGTTGGACGAGGCCTTGGGTAATATGGTTTAGAGCGAGGTGTCCCTGCCCATGGCAGGGGGGTTGGAACTTGATGATGTTAAGGTCCTTTCCAACCCTAACTATTCTATGATTCTATGATTCTATGACCTTTTGAGGTCCCTTCCAACCTTTGGGATTCTATGATTATTTAAACCTGACATCATGGACCGAATGGACGCAGCAGGTTTATAGGGATTGGTCCATTCATTAAGGAATGATCTCTCTCTCTCTCTGTATGTAGGTATATATATATTACAGCGATGGTATATCGAAAATGTGGGATTTGAGCATGATGTGAATGGCATGGAATAAGAGGTGGATACTATCCTGGGTTCAGCAGTAGTAGTCATTTTTTCTCCTTCTTAATAGCTGGTGCAGCACTGTGGTTTTGACTTTCAGCCTGGGAACAGTGCTGATAGCACCAATGTAGTTACTGATTGAATGTTCAGACTGACAAAGGACTTTGTGAGTCTCATGCTCTGTCAGGGAGGAGGGGAAGCCGGGAGGAAGTAGAAACAGGACACCTGATCCAAACTAGCCAAAGAGGTATTCCATACCACAGCATGTCATGCCCGGGATGTAAGTGGGAGTTACCTGGAAGGGCACTCACTGCAGGGTTGGACTAGGTATCAGTCAGTGCTCGGTCGGGCTGGGTATTAACGGTTGGTGGGTGGTATCGTATTCTCTTCCCTTGTTGTTTCCCTTATCATTATTATTATTGGTGGTAGCAGTAGTGATTTGTGTTATACCTTAGTTACTGGGCTGTTCTTATCTCAACCGGTGGGAATTGCATTCTTTTGATTCTCCTCCCCATCCCTCCACGAGCAGGGGGAGTGCAAGAAGGGGGAGGGGAGTGTGTGTGAGAGAGAGCAACAGCGTGATTTATGGCTGACGGGGTTTAAACCACAACACAAGTGTAATAAGCAAAACATACACATATCTCTTCCTCCTTTCTATGTATGTCTTTTTTTTGAAACTAGCCAAATGTCACTGTTTGTGCCTTCCAGGATTACCATATTAAATTTCCCATAACAGTGGAATTCTTCCAACAGCAAAATGGGTCCTGTTAGCAATTTTAATCTTCAAATATATCAAGATCACTTCCAAGTATCTAGTATTTTAATCAAATTGTTATTTTTTTTTTAATGGTGTCACAGACACCAATGGTGTCACAACTGACAAATGCAAATAGCTAACAAAATTAAAACCTTTCAGGCATTCCTATGGCTGATTTTTATTTATTTATTTAATTTTAATATACGATGGTAAGAAGCCATCTTGTATTAAATGATGGGTAGCAAAATATAGTCTAGCTCTCAAAGTAAGGTCTCACTGGTAGAGAGAACTCATTAATGTCATTCAAATAAATTGGTGTGAAATATGATCATCTCAAGCAGTATGTTTATTTACACTTGCAAATCAAAAATAATATGGTTAAGATATATGAGGCAACAATTAGGGAATATGTCTGCAGGTATTCAAGGAAATATCATTCATCTTCTGCTGCAAAAAAAATAATATTTTATTGCAATGTATCTGTCTAATTGAATAATGAGGATACTAACGCTGTTTTACGGGTACAGCAGCAATGGAAATTTCAACTATAGAAATAATTCCCCTGAAGTAGACCTGGCATAATAAGAGGCCTTGTGTCTGCTTCATACAGAAGCTTTCTGTGACTTTATTTGCAAAGCCCTGGTAAAGCCCAGTGAGCTGCTTCAGGAGTGCCCTACTCCATACAGGGTGCAACCCAACATGACGTAACTTCCAAAATATGGTGCTTGAAATGTTTGGAGTGGAAGAGGAGGCAGTGACAGCCATGAGTGCAGGCAGAACAGGAGGTGAAAGGTCTTGCAGTGAGTGGCACACAGGCTGTTTTGGACCCATAAGGCTGTTCTTTGCAATTTGCAGAAGATACTTTTAACAAGAGGAGACTGGAAAGAAAGTTGCCTTAGAGAGGACTGATCTAACCTAGATCTTTTCATACTGGACCTACCTAGATCTTTTTAAGTGTGTGCTACCCTACTTTATCTTTTTTTCTTCTCCCTGGAGTGAAGAGTAAGGCACAGCCCAAGGTAGGGTACATGTCTCCATACTCCGAGGAACCACCATCTCTGAAGCCATTACCTACTGATGTCCACCTACTGATGTCCACAGGAGCATTTCAGCTGACTTCATCCTTGAATAGGGGCCATTCAGAACAAAGGGACCAAGAGGGTGGCATCTCTGTGCCATCCAAAGAGGCCGAGCACCATGGCTGTTCCTAATCCTGTCCCACCTTCAGGCTTTTCTCTGGCTTTACAACAGTTCTCAGCACACACAGATAGTTTCGAGAGAACAGTTGGGACATCTCAGGTTTGCTGAGAGCTTCAAGCCATATAACAGTATACTCTAGCAGTTCACTTCAAAAGTAAATGGCTTTGCCCTGCATTTACCTACCAGTGGTAAAGGCTGCTAACTGTTGTAGGGTCTTATTCTATTAATGTTATTGCTTAATTATTCTGTAAAGCCCCATGGCAATACTTCGAACACCAGTATCCTCAAGTGTAGCTTCATGGTACAGTGTAGTGTGAATCTTCTGTGTAAAAAAAAAAAAAAAAAAAAAAAAAAAAAAAAAAAAAAAAAAAAAAAAAAAAACCTTTTACCAAGTTTATAATCAGTACAATACAGTAAAAGATTTTAGGCCCCTGGAATCAGCTGAAGTATCTTGAGGGCTACATCTTAGGGGATAAAAAAGTACAACTGTATTAGGAGGTTATGATTACTACACATGTCATTGTCATATCAGTCATTTAGCAGTCATATCCTAATAAGCTGCCGTGAAATTTGTCATTTCAAAGTCAGATTAATGCAGATTCATATAATAAAGTCATCACAGCACACAGCTAAGTAATTATGTTCAAGCTTTGTCACTGCAATGAATGTCTATGTGCCTAAGTACTGAGGGTGACTTTTTTCAGCTGCTGTTTTCTTATTGATGAATTAGCCAAATAGGCTCTTTAATAACTTTCTTTTGGACAGAGAGGGAAAAACATAATCTTCTTTGAATTATATAGTAACTGCTGGATTCTCCGTACTCTTCTTTGGGAACCTTTGGATTCATAGCAGTCATTACCGATCAAAGAATTTAATTCATCTATATATCCTTTTTTGTGCACAGAAATACAAAATAAGTTAGAGAGTCAGCATATGTTACAGTAAGCAGCAATCTGTTATGGTAGTAATTTCACTGCTTGCTGTACCACAGAGGGTTGTGCTGTAACACGGCTCATTATAATGGATGTACTTTATTTTGTTCAACCAGTCATGGTAAAAATATTTGGCTAATGTTTTCATTGCCTGCCATCTGTGTGGTCAGCAAGGTTGTCCAACAACATCCGAAATGTCATCGCTTCAAACAAGGGCTTAATTAAAATTTAATCAGACAGATCTTTTTTATTAATTAAATACCAGCTGATTAATGCGATGTATTTTGATATGAAGTAACTGTGGCCCAGATTCAGCTGTGCTTGTGCACAGTGAGACTTACTCAGTCTCCTCAAGGGCGGCTGCTGACTGCAGCACAGCTCAGCTGGCGCGAGCAGCAGTGTGAAGTCTGACTCTGTCCCCCAAAAGGCGCTTGAATGCTGCCAAGCCAAATATCAGAAAATGTCATAATTAAGGTTGCAAGCACAGTCTGGATCCAGCCCTTGTGTTGTTGTGTTGGGATCTCACATGCCTTTGTTTTACCTCTGGCACCACTCGGCCTTTGGAGAAAGTGTTGCAGTATTTCCTGGCATTGTTGTCATGGGCCTCGTACTGCCATGTGCCCTCTCTCAAACCGTGTGTAGTTTCACTGGTTTTTCTTTGCTTTTTGAGGGTTTTGTGAAACATCTCCCACTGACGTCTCAGATTTGTATGTATGTTCATGGATTTGCAATCCTGCTCCAGCATGAGGGGACAGTATGCTTTCCCTTTTATAAAGTGGTCTGTGCACAAGAGTGCCCACTGACTTCTTTTAATCCAAATCATTCAAGTCAGCGACCCAAATGTAGATGAATTTGACCAATAGGTTTCTACTGTAGCTACTACAGAGTCTTTAGTCTGTGACAGCACTATGCTGAGTTTCACAGTGATGTTTTTAAGACCCTAGATGATCAGTCCATGGCTGGTGGAAGTCCCATCCTTGCTTTCACTCAGAAATGGTGTGCTGAACATGTTTGCTTCCCTGTACAAACAGAAAAGGTAGGGTAGGCAGACAAGCCTTCTCCTTCATGAAGTCAGTATGAGACTGGGAATTACCTCCAGACATGGGAACCAGAAGTATATGTGGCTTCTACAGACCAAAGTATTGCCCCATATCACAAGTCCTGACACAAGAGCTGACAATTTAAAAAAGGTCTGAAGTGTCATTGCAGACTCACATTTCATTTTATGAACATTGTCAAAAAAAAAAAAAGTGTTCACAAAATGGAAAGACAAAGATTTTTAATAAATAGTGTAATTAGCGTAAAAGCTGTCATCCTGCAAGTTTTTTAGAGACCTCTTGAAAAATGAAAGAGTCTGATGGAAGAAAGCTGCAGTTCTGATTGGTGTCTTTCTCAAAATATCTGAACGCTGGGAAATGTACCCATAACCACCAGTAATATTCCCAGGGCTGCCCTAAGGTTGACATTGAAGAACAAAGTGCCAGGATGGTGTCATTAATTTAAAGAGTAATTTACATTTATCATGAGAAATAAACTCGAAACAAATGGCAGCTTGCTACAATAATTCATCTAACTGATATGAACCTAAGGAGTCCACCTACCAATTAACTTTTACCAAAGTGCTATAATTTATATGAAAAAGAGTGATGTAAAAAGGAACATCAGGCTGTAGCAGTCCTATGGCTTTCTTTGAAAAATTCATTGCATATTTTCACTCAAAACTGCCAAAGAAAAATCAAGTTATTAATAAAAAATAATAGCCCATGAGCAATTCTTTAACCTTTAAAATCCAGATCCTGGTACGACCAAAGCGCCATGATACTGTTGTACATGCAAGGATGAAAGGTGTAATTGATATTTGGGTTCATTTCTTCAAGAGTTCATTAAAACAGCCTGAAGTAAGAAACACATTTCAATACAGTTCTCTAAACCCTATGTACAGCAGGGAGTAGGCAGCACCCTGCCAGAACAGACAGATCTTGAAATCCTGCAACACAAGACTAAAGTAATGAGCCTCTCTCTGATGTGAATATCTCTTAACCCATTGTTGCTCTTGAGCAATCGCATATTACTGACAGTTTAGCATTAATGCTACCTCTTAAGTCAGCCTTCCTCCTTGTCCTTGGATTTAATTAAGGACAGAAATGCCACTCTGCAGCTGGAGCCATTATAAATATTCAACTCAAATGATTGTCTCTTTCCTTTAAGAATTTGTTTTCCCAAGAACATTGGAACTTTCAGAGTTTTGCTTCTTACATGGAGGTCCCCTTTTTAAAAAGTCCCTATAAGAGACATAGGCTGTAAGTTGTGTTTCAGCCTCCTCAGAAGTCATGGCAATGGGCATCCAGAAGTAATTTTGTCCTGCCAGCTTAGAGCAGACAGTTTTAATTAATTGCCTTTATTCTGCTGACAATTCTTTGTGCTTGGAGGTTGGGTTGGTCAGTACAAAATTAGCAGCCCAAAACAACAGCTAAGAGGAACACAACATTGCTCCCCCGGTCACTGGTGCCACCACAGTGTCTCCTGGATGCTCAGGGATCTGCAGACTCTTTGGTGACCTTTGGCCAGGGGCTATCCATATGCTCTCCTGCCTTTGCATGCATCTTTGAGACAACCCCCACTAAATAAGCAATAAATATGCATGTACTTCCAGCATCCCCATGATAGGGCAAGAGGGAACCTAAGGTCATTTGAGGTTGGACCAGAGCCAGATCTACCCCAGTATCCTATTTTTGACCTGGCCAGTGACAAATTTTTTGGGTAAGGTCAGGACAGCCATGAGCTTTCCAGCTGTCTGGACCCAGCAGGTTAGTGGCTGGCTGTGCCGGTGGCTCTGTCTTGACTGATGCTAGTAAAGGCAGCTTCCACACTCCTGTCAATGCCTTTTCCACTCACTAATGCCTTTAGGCCTCTACCACATCCTTCAGCTACTAAAAATATCAGTGTATTATCTCCATCAAATCAGCAGTAGGAGCCTCGTGGCAAATATGTGATATCAGGGCCCTGCTGAATTATATGTGCTGTATCAGGGAAGGTAAGCAGATGTCCTGATGAGTGTGTAACCTCCTGGGTGAGGAGAGGCACTGTGGAGGAGTGAGCAGATTATTACCTGTCTTATGACATAAGGAACACAGACTTTATGTCTTGACCCAAGCCACAGGAATCTATGGCCCAGTCAGGTACATAAATGCATCTCCTAAATCTCAGTATTCCTTTTCAGAAAATCTTTTTCTTTTACACTGTTTGATAAAATAGGCTCTTTTATCACAACGTTTTTAGAGGTCAACTGCCTCTTCTGCTCTTATTTCTCCATGTTTCTAATTAAGTTACTGTGAATCCTATCATATTTCAAAGGGAAGGATCAAGAGCCATTGCTTTCATGATCTAGTTAATACCTGTAAATATCAGCTGTTGCCCAATTCCCACTATGAAATAGTAGGTGGAAAGAGGAAGACACCATAAAACACATTTCACTTAAAGGCAAGAAGCAATAAATGATCTTTATGACCTTTGAAACCTGAGGCTTCCTAAGGCTATATATTTCTTTTTAGAACCCAAAAAATGTACCCATTTTATCAGTTCATAATACTTTTTTTTTGCTGTTTTTCAGTACTAGGTGTTGGGTTGGGTTTGGGTTTTTTTTTGTTTATTTAGATCTTGGACATCTTCATGCTTGCAGAGCAGGTCTGCTTGCTCAGCAAGAAAACTGCATGGTGAAAAGACCCTGAAAGTCTTTCCTGTGTTGCCTCCAGGCAAGGAGGTCCAAAGGACACTACATGCAGCATGATGATGACTCTGGGAACACTTGAGTCGTGTCCACCTCTGCAAAATGCTCTTACAGCCCCAGCACTGCAGCACAACACTGCTTTGAAGAGTCTTATTGGCAAAATGATCTAAAGGGTTTCTGTATAAGGGGGGACTTTCAACAGAAACTAAGTAAAATGGTTAGAGACAGGAGAAAAGATTTAAGTACATCTGAGCTTATTTCTTCAAGAATTAAGGAAATACCTAAAAAAGTTGCTCATTTGCTGACATTTACAGATTACCAGATCCCTTGGAATGACCCAATGGATTAAATA